TTTCTTAAATTTAATTAATTATTTAAAAATAGAATTTTTTATATTTTTCATATAATCTATGGTAGAAATAGCAATTTACTAAATTAAAATATATATTACAGGAACTATTAAGTATACCTATTATTGAGTTAATAAATTGATGCGGTAATACTATCTAAAATTGCATTTTAGCTATACCTTATTTGCTTTTAAAATGCTATTCTAAAAGCAAATTTCAGCTATTGACTCATTTGCTTTTAGATAACATCTATTCATAGTATTAAAGTTTCTAAAATAAAATTTATAAATAATAACAATAATATTAAATTTGTGAAGCAAACAAAACCAAATTTTATACAATAAAATAAATAATTTTATTAAAAAATATTATATATACAAATAAAAAAATAAATACAAATAATGAAATATTATTTACAAAAAATTACATTGAATGATAATGTTTAAAATTTCTAACTATAAAAAATATTAATTCTTTTATATTAAACCACTCTGAATTTTCATCTGTAATAATCTATCTATATTCAATATTAGTCTTATTTTTAAAATTAAATACTCTAATTTTATTATTTCTAATAGCTTTAACTTTAAATTTAGTTAAAATTTCTTGTTCTTATTCTGAATTTTAAAGAACAAAAGTAATAATATTTTTAAAGTTGGTTCTTCTTTCAATATATTGGCAATTTTTGTATAATATTCTGGTTTAAAAAATTTAAGATATTTAAAACCAGGAGTATTTGAAGAGGCTATCTTAAAAATAATATTATCAAATTTGTTATCTTTAAGAGACTTGAAAAAAGTTTTTTGATATTTTTAATTAAAGAAGGCATCTAAATTTTAATAATAACTAAAAAATTATAAAATATATTAATACAAAGTTTCTCTTTGTACATATTTGTAAGCTGTAGCAATCCAAAGATATAACTTGGAATTTGAGTCAGGTTTTTAAAAAATAATAGAAATTATCTTCATTTAAATAAAACTCAGAATAATCTTCTATTTTTCTAGTATAGTGTGATTCAAAACCATAATTACTAAATAAAATAAACTTTGTCAACTTACTTTTTTTTTTCTAAAAATAAAAATAAATAATAAATATCACTATTATTATTGATATCAACTATAAACTAATGCTAGTAAAACTACTATTTACATTTATAGAATATTATATTCTATATGAGCAATTCAGTTTTGCTATTAGCAAAAAATCTCATAGCACAACTTCTAATATAATATAATTCTAAACAAAATACTTAGTAAATAAATATTTACTTTCAATAAATATAGGTTTGTGGATAATTTTTAATTAAATATATCCAAAAATAGATATTAAATATAATAAAAATTAAATATTCTAATATAAAAGTATACAACTCTTCCTGATAATCACTCGTATCAAACTTATGACTAACGAAAACAGAAACTTGTTAGAGAAAAAGTAGAAGAAACAACTATACAAGTGATGGTTTTTATAGAGATCAAGGGTCTTCTATTCTCCCCGAACTTCTTAGTATATTCAGCAAGCAAGTTAAAAGCATTTTTGTACAAGATAACTGGCAGAAGGTGGCGTCTTTGTACAAAAAATTTTAATAGAAGCATAGCTTCTGCTAACGAAGTTAAAATATAGTTGGTCTAGAAGAATAGCAAGCGAGTTTTCAACACACTCTCTATCAAAGTTTAAGGCTACTTGCTAACCGAAACTCTTTACAACACCCCATTCTTTGCTCTTCACAAAATTTCACCAAAAAGTGGAAAATATGGCGGACCCTATCAAAAGATCGACAACAACAATCACTGCCAAAAAAGGAAATATACATATATATGTATGTGTATACTTTGGGATGAATAATATAAGATTGTGTTATCTCAAGAGGTTGCAGTGTTTATACTGAGTACCCTAGCACGTCAACTTTGCCCAGGAATGAAGTACGTGAATACATTGCAGAATGCTGGATATAGACTTGTTGGGACTGCAAGAAATTTTGAACTTGGATCTCTACTCAAGAATGGATTTTTATATATCCTAATATAGGCATAAATAACTAGCGTAGAGTTTAAACTAGTTTTAGTAGCACTATATAATTTTTATAGTCTGGCACAGGCTTAATAGTGCTGTCTTTTGTTTTCTTTTCTTTATTTTGTTTGTTTTCTTTATTTTTGTTTTTGGTTTTATTGGTCTTAGTTAGGTTGGACTTCATTGATGTATTTTTTTCATTTTGTTTTATTTTGCCTCTTAATTTTGTATATATGTTCTAATTACTAAAAAAAAAGCCAACATCGAGGCAAGTGGCTTGTAGTTGCCAGCCAAGGATTGAAGAGAAAATGTCTGAAGGAAGTTTTGGACCCAGATTGAGGCCAATGACTACTGAGACAGGCACATTAGGCAAAAGCTTAGTGAGCTATAGGTCTGGTAGATTAATTTAGCTAAGAGAGAAATTCTTGTAATTTTTTGAATAGTTATGATCCCAAATAAATGACAGCAGGCAGCCAAATTATTAAAAAAAAATATAAAAGTATAAAAAAATTGTTTTGTATATATAACTTTAAAAAAAAATAAAGAAATGCTAAATTCTTTAATGTAAACAGATAACAAAAATTCAAAAGCAATAAAAACAATAATAATTGAATATATAAAGAAATACATTTTTAAAAGATATTTTAAATAAATTTAAAAAAAAAAATTTTAAAAAAAATTTAGAATTTAGAAGCTTTATAATACTAAAATCTAAAATTTTTATTTACAAACAAACAAAAAATAATAAAATTTAATTGGTTCTTATAATTTATTTATTTTTAAACTATTTACAAATTTATAATAAAATAATAATTTATTTGTTAAAGATAATTGTTTCTGTACTCGCCATATAGCAAGTGGATAAATACAGTATTATATAATAATAAAAGTTTATATTTTGAAGAATAATTTTATTTAGTTTATTTTATTTATTAAATATATATTTATTTATATTGTTATTATATTTATTTGTATATTTAATAAAATTATTTTATTTACAATATTTGTTAATCAACATATAAATTGATAAAGTAAATTTAAAATAAACAATATATTTTGTTGATTAACATATAAATTGATAAAGTAAATTTAAAATATACAATATATTTTGTTAATCAATATATAAATTGATAAAATAAATTTAAAATAAATAATATATTATATTGATCAATATATAAATTAATAAAGTAAATTTAAAATAAATAATATATTTTGTTGATCAATATATAAATTGATAAAGTAAATTTAAAATAAACAATATAATTTGTCGATCAACATATAAATTGATAAAGTAAATTTAAAATAAACAATATATTTTGTCAATCAACATATAAATTGATAAAATAAATTTAAAATAAATAATATTATATATAAATTTATAATATCAATATATTTGTTAATCATTAATATATTCAAATCACAACTCTTTCTGACGATCATCTGGTCAACAAAAATCAAGAAACTGAACTACGGTCAGCGCTATAGAAGACGCTAAAGTAAATAATAAACCTGGTCCTACGAAAGTAGGTATGTTGTCGACAAAGTACCAAGAGTATAAAAATATTTATTTTTACCTTTAAAATTTACTCTGTAGCTGTTACAATCAAGTGTTACGTAACAGCTACAGATTAATCTCACGTGATATTTCCTAAAAAGGAAGGATACCAAATTCTCTTCTAGATGGTGGTTTTTGACTTACTGCGCCTTAACAGACCAACCAATCAAATTTCGTTCTGACATGCATTAACCAATAGAAACTTTAGAAAACACATAACAAATGTCAAAAACCACCATTCAATTAGATGGTGGTTTTTGAACGTGTTCAAAAACCACCAGAACGATCGACAAACACACCGTACGGTTTCCAAAAAAGGAAATTAAAAATCCTATTTGTCACATCCCTAAAAAAACTCTTTATCCGAATTAATTTTCTCATTTCTAAACATGCTTTACGCTTCTAAGTAAACTTGAAGAGACGCTTTCATTCTATTAGGGCGTAAATTTTCAGAACAATTGGATTGATATTCATCGAGATGTAATGATTTCTTTTTTCGTTTCGTCCGTATGTCTTTGCAGATCCTTATGTATTAGATTCGTGATGAATCGTTTTTTAATCATTCTTAAAATTTTTATTAGTAAAATGTACAACATCATTCTATCAAACTATATGTTTTTTTGGTAGACAATAATGATAAAATAGTTATATACACAGATGGTTCTCACAAAAATAACCATAAAGGATCATATGCAGGTATTGGAGTTTGTTATGAAAATGGAAGTAAACAAATTACCGAACCTCTACCGGGAGATTTACAAACAAACAATCGTGCAGAATTATATGCAGTAATTCGTGCATTAGAAACATGTCAAGATCAAACCAAAGTGATTG